GGAGATAGCTCAGTGGTCTAAGCGCCTGCCTGGCAAGCACAAGGACCAGGTTTGATCCCCAGTTACTGCATGCCCTGCTGGCCCTAGAAACCTGGACCCACGTGCTGATCCTGAAACCAAGCGTGGTGATGCACAACTGTAATTCCAGCGTGGGGGAAGCTGAGAAAGCAGGGTCACTACGAGTCTGAAACGCGTAGTGAGACCCTATATCCAGTAAATAAAAAAATTAAACTAAAAAAATATACTGAATGTTACAAACAATACAGATGTCTCTAAGCAGGATAGAGTCCAGAGTTCAGAGCCCTTGATCAGAAATGGAGTTTTCAACTGCAGTTCAATGTGTAGGTATTGGAGGAGAACTAAATACACACAGTTCAGCTAGATGTTATAGAAGAAACTATACAAATTGCTACTACACTATACCTAAGAGGAGATATTATGAAATAAATTTTTAGGAAATAGGGATAAAGTGAAAACATTAAAAATAACTTAGTATTATAGCATTATTAAAAAGTAAAGAGTTTGGGCTATTAAAATTTAATTTATGAGGTAAGAACCAATCGTTCAGCTCTGTCAACTGCTTGTAATATCTCCTATTTGCACAAATCCCTTAGTAAATAAATGCTTATTTTCAATGAATGCATTTAGTAATAGCATTAACATTTTTGAATTAATAATTCAGAAAAAAGAACTTTTTAATGTAAATAACCTTATTTCTGAGACATAGCTGGAGTAAATCTCAAAAATTAATCCATCTGCTCTGAAAATGGTGACTATAGTTTATTTTAAACTTCAAAACTATTATCCTAATATATTCATAATTATTTTAAATTTAATAACTGAAAATAAAAGCTTTTTGAACATTTGGTTTTTTAAAAAATTTTTTCCATACTTTCTCAGGATCTGTTGTAGTTTATCATAAATTTTGATTTTTTTCTTCATGAAATATCAAAGTGTTAAAATTTGACATTTTGCTTTTTAATTCATGTAATATGAGTATTTGTTTTTAATGTCCTAAATAGAATTAAATAATGAAAATTATATGTTCTTAAATTAAGGCTTTTTTGTTTTTATGTGTGTTGCATGGTGTACAGGAATGTGATAAAGGCAACTTTATATTTAGACTATGAATTTATTCCCTTACAAGTAATCACTAGCAATTTGTTTATTTATTTATAATTTATTCAAGAAATTTTCCAGAATGTCACTCAGAGGGGTCTTTATGAAATTAAATGTTTTCACTCTTATAACAACATCAACAAAATTACAAATAAATTTTTAGACTTCACCAGAAAATCAAATATAGCTCTTTTCTCCAGAATATTATTATCATAATACTATAATGAAATTTTTACTTGATGATGACTTTTATTTATGATTTGGTTTTGTCCTTAGACGACAATATGAATATGGTTAAATAGATTCAAGGCATTAGAGTCACAATACACTTTCTACAGTATAGGTATTATATATTTTGTAGTTACATGCTTTTTACCATTCTGAGAATTGACTAGAAGATGACAAAAGAAAAGATTGATATCAAAATGTCTTTTCTTCTAATCTCTCTACACTATAAGTAGTTTGAAATTGTATTTCTAAAAAAAATGATTGCCATCTTAAATGCATCATTGACAAGAGTCAAGTATAACACAGCAGAGATGGTGCAGTGTGTCACTAACAGTGGGACCACTTTACAGGGCAGGAGCTGGCACTACCTGAATATTGTCAATTACAATAAAGAAATTGTTGAGTACAAGAAATTCATAGCAGCACAAATCCAAATAATGTTTTACTCATGTAGCAGTATATTTTCATTCTGAACTAGTGGTTTCCTACAAAAAGATCAACATTTACACTGAGATATCAAGTGAAATATTTATTCAAAGCCTCACCTTATAATTTCTTTCTTTTATTAAATTATATTTATTATATGAAAACTGTGTCACAATTAATACCAAAGCACCTTATTAAATACTAGGTGATAATAAAGTTGAATGAAACATTCTACTTGAACTGTTAATACAGATGCATTTCAAAGCCAGCAGAGCATCTGAAATTAGGGGAGTTGCCAGAAGCAACTAGTGAGAAGGTGAGAACAGCTCAGCCTAAATTCTTGGTGTAAGTGGTACATTTCACTGTCCCAAGAAACCTCATAGCGTACCATAGTAAAAACGAAGTGGCGAAGTGGTGGGAAGCTAAAATAACAAAGTAGAAGTAAGTAGCTGTATACCATGGGTTAGTCTGCAGTTTGATTTTGGTCAGCTGACTACCAATTACTATAAACATCCTCCAAAACAAAAGACAAAATCTAATGCTTCTCTAATATATTATTTGCAGTGTCCAGTTGTCTGTAAAAATATTAGACATTTAAATATTGAGCATAATTCATAGCCAAGGAAAAGGTGGTTATTTGAATCTGTTATCCCAGATTGAAATTTAGCAAAATGCCTATACAGTTTTTTTAAATGTATGTAAACAAATAATAGGCAAATATGTTCTAAGAATTAAAGGAAAATAAGGTATTGATGAAGGAATAGGTATTCTCAGAAGAGCAATAAAAACTACAAAAAGCAAAAACTAAGTCTAGAAATCCTGAAGCTGAGAAGAATAATTATTTAAATGAATTCATTAGGTAGGCTCAAAAGCAGCTCGGAAATATCAGGAAAAAAGGAATAGCAAAACTGCAGAAATAGGCCTTTTCAAATAATATTTTTTAAAAAAATGAACAAAAATAAACTAGACATTGGATTCCATACTGCAGCTACACACTTCAGTGGGAGGGGAAAGGATGAAAAAAGAATTAAGATGTACTGCGTGTATGTATAAACTCATGATAAATGTAACCATTATGTACCACAAACATATACAAGTTTTTTTTTTGTTTTTTTTTTTTTAAAAGAAACTACTGTTCATTGGGTTTTATTATCGTGTAAAAAAGCAAATGATTGCTGTTATCTAAGTTATCTGAAAAGGCTATAAAATGACTCTCCCTTTCCCAACTGTCTATAAGAGGCCAGATTTTCATCTTACACATACTTCAACCAAACAACATACTGTATCAGACCTGATACAGAAACAGATTTGAAAATATTGGGGATTGACTCAGGGCCTTCTCATTGTGGTACATTCCCAGCCCTTCAGTGTTTTACTTTGAGACACAGGGATTATAGTGCACTGGGATTATAGACATATAATAGAGCACTTTTAGAGCACTGGGATTATAGACATATGGCACCCTGCCCAGCTCTGCTGTCATCTTTCAAGCTGCACATTGGAGATGAGCAAAAGTATAATGTTCTTTTTTCTTGGTTCTGGGAATCAAGCTTGGGGCCTTGCACTTGCCAGGCAGTGCTGTGCCACTGAGCTCTGTCCCAGGATCAGCAGTATTCTTTACTTTGGACATTACAGCTTTTTTTTTCTTAAATAAAAATATGCTTTTATGTTGGCATGTAGTGAATTTGTTATTAAATGAATTTAAAAATATTTTTAATTCTTTGTTTTAATTTCTAATGTAGTAAGTATCAGTAGATGTTCTTCACTGTTGCAAAATCTCTTTGGAATTTGTAATTCTTTCTAATTGTAAAGGGATCCTGAAATCAAAAGTTTTGAGAAATATTTTGAGTTTGTTCTGTCTCCATCTTCAGATAGTAGATTCCTGTAAGAGAAGCAAACTGAAAAATTGGCATTATCTTATAGCCCAGAAGATAAGTGCTCTGGAATACAGTATGACATTCAGTTTCCACCAGTATCTCAGTTTTCCAGTAAAGATGTAGCTTGCTGTAGGTTTGCAGCTTATTGCTTCTGTCGGCCCACACCCCTTGTCCCCACCTCCTGAGACTTGCCTTCTGACTTTCTTTTTTTCTGGCCAGGGAGCTTTATCAAGAAAGCAGTAGGAGCTTTTGTGGGGGTGACTAAACCTTGCCTTGCTGCTGCTTTCTCCCTTGGTCACGATACTAGCCTGAGTTATGATTCTGTTGTGGGGAAAGAACATTCATCATTTGGAATAAAAGCACCATTGATGTTTGTCTCCCTCGGTGTGAGGGAAAATTGTAAGGATGGGAACTGAAAGAAACTTATCCAGACTTTTGTATTTCTGTTCTACTCAGTTTTCTCCTAAATGGAGCAATGCTATTTATCTACTAGGTGGCAAATGTAGTATTCCAGGAATAATAGTGGTATAAGTGGCATTAATAAATTGAATATATAGTAAGTTTACTTTTGCCTTATTTTGTCCCTTCACAAAAATGAATTAATCCCCCTAATAAAAACGTCACAGAACCAAAAAATAGCCTACTCACATACTTGCCTGAAGCCAGATTGATCTAGCCTCTTCCTTTTATTCCTCTTGTGTCACTGCTTTTTCTATCTCTTTCTACTCTTCACCTTTCCCATAGTTTGTTTGTTTATTTTGTTTTGTTTTGTTTTATTTTTGGTAATCCTGAACTCAGGACCCCACACTTGCCAGACAGGCACTGTCCTACCGAGCTAGATCTCTGGCTTTTTCCTACAGTTCTTCATGACTTTGTACTTGGCATTAAATTTGAAAGATTCCGGAAATGTTTTTTAAGACTTATGTTACTGTCATAAAATTAGACAAATTTATTATACTGATACTTCTGGTCTTTGATGTTTTCACCTAATATTTTTGGCAGTTTTAAAATGTATAGTATGTTAACAGGACTAAAACAACTTTCCATGATCTTTCTTTGTTAATTGAGTTACATGGAAATAGTAATGTGGACAGTTACCCCCATGTATAGTTTAAGGCACTTACTAATGATTTACTTTCTGCCTAAATTATAGCTTATTTTTGGAACAGTACAGATTTTCTTTGTTTTTAAATGGTTGTCGTTGTGAAAGTTGCTTACATACTCTCATCAGAAGAGCAGACTTGTAATTTGAGGATGTCAATTAGAAGAGTATTTAATTGGGTCCAGCAATAAAACCTGATTATTCATCAACTATTGCCTTAAAATCCCATTTTCCTTATGTTTTCTTAGGGCAAAGATGAAGAGGAGGCCTTTCTGGATTGGAGTGACGATGATAGTGGTGATGGATTTGATCCAAGCACACTTCCAGATCCAGATAAACACAGAAGCTCCGAAGAATCAGACAGTGAAGAAATTGAAGATAAGCTCAGGTATATTTTTACTATTGGTGTCATTAAGTACATAACCTAATACCTGCATAAGTGATCTTTTTAATGAATTCAAAAGGCATTACTGTAAAGATTCCTGCCAGAGAGTATTACCTTTAATATTTCAGGAAATCCTGCTGTTGCTTCTTATTGAGCCTATAGGCCATTTTACAAATGTTCTTCTTTTCAATTTAATAGACTTTAAAAATTATTGTTACTTATGTATTCCCTATTAATAGAACTTGACATTCAAGTTGTGGGTTTTTTTTCCCCGTGTTCTTTTTTATTAGGTTTGTTTCTTCATTGAGGTAGAGTGTATACAAAGGTAGGATGTTATTTTGATTGAACATAAAAGGATGCTGTTGAGGGTACTGTTAAAAGTTGCCTCTGAATTAAAAAAAAAAGGTCGGTTCTTTTACATAATTTTATAGTAACATGATAATTGATAGCTTTTATATTAAAAATCCTTGACAAATTCTTTCAAATTACATGTTTACTCACTATTCATTATCTGTTTGCCACCATTCCCTCTAAAATGAGATATAATGAATTAACGGTATGGTACGCTCAGCCTTTGTTTTCAGAGTGCTACTTATTAGACTACGGTAAGATTATATTGAATCAAAAGTTGAGAATGTTAAACTTCATGGACTTTCTGAACCATTAAGCCAAATTAAGATATTTGTGAAAGTTAGTATGCTTGAAGGGAAGATGGTGTTTGATGGAACCTCTCATGTATTAGCCTAGAGAGCTTGAAGTTACAGAAATAGGTCATAGAGGACTACAGTATAATTTGGTCTTCCTAATTTTTTGTTGTTGTTAGTATAGAGTTGTAGTACAAGATGGTTACACAGATTGGGGAGAGTTAGTACATGTATATACTGCCTCTTAGTTCTTTTTATACCTCTTGCTTCCCTTCTTCTCTTTGCCCTCCATTTCTTGGTCTGCTTGTATTTGCCATACGTTTTAAGTAAGAAAATCTTTATGAAAATATATTTAATATGGTTACCATCTTAGGAAAAAAATGCTGTAAGGGAGATATGGCTACTATTCATTTAAATCTTGTGCACAGTGGGCATGGTGGAACACACCTGGAATCCCAGCTCTGAGGAGGCTGAAACAGCAGGATTGCTGTGAGTCTGAGAGCAGCCTGGGCTGCATAGGGAGTTCAAAGCCAGTCTGAGCTATATAGCATGACCTTGTCTTAAAAAAAAAAAAAAAAAAAAAATCGCCTGCCTATTTGAACATAGATTATTTTGGTAGAAAGGAATATTAATGTATGCAAAACTGCCGTCGTGCCAGACGATGCCAGGAACTTGATGTACTTGCTGCTGGACAGGTGTAGTGCATGTACTATGTTTAGGGTATTTCTGGTGCTAGACAGTGGGCGTGTTAGCTTTACAATGACAGAAGGTACTATAGGTACAAATAATTACATTAAGGTTTAAAAAACGTGTAAATGCTTTTGTCATTACACTTGTTTAGATTCAGGCAATATTCTTACTTTTTGTAAATTGGCTTCTAAAAGTAAATGTACTCACTGTGTTACAGAAAGTTCCTTGAGGCGTGTCTGAAATACAGATAAACTATCAGAATGGTTTGGTTAGTTGCCCCTTATGTTCTTATTTAACTGTCTCTATAGAGTCTTAAGGGTTCCCAATTTTGATAGGTGTGATTTGAATTAGTACATAACTTTAAATTATTAGCTTTTATGTCATTTCCTATGGCAAGAATATTAATTGGTTCTTATAGTTTGTTCTGTGGTATGTTTTACATACCTGCTTATTAACACAATTTCAAAAGATAGAACCAACCTTTAGGCTTTCTTTTTTTTCCGGGGATTGAACTCAGGACCCTGCACTTGCCGCAAGCACTTATTCTACTGAGCTATCTCTCAGACCCCAAGAACAAACCTTTAAAGCTATTGGCAAGATACTAGCCATTCTTCTGCATCAGAGTCATACAGATTTCTTTTCTTTTTTTTTTTTCTTTCTTTTTTTTTCTTTTTTCCTTTTTTTTTTGGTATTTTAGTAAGGGTCTACAGGGTCTCACCACATAGATTGCACTAGTAGTGATCTACTTTGTTCAGCCTCCCAAGAGCTGGGATTACAGGTGTGTGCCACCCTGCCCAGTCTCAATAGCTGACTCAGTGTGCCCCAGGGGTGGGGCCGGCACAGCAGGCCAGGAATCCAACCTCAGCTGCTGCATCTGCCTAAGCAGGCGCTTCAACCCACTGAGCGATTTGGCCGGCCCCGGATCTGTTTTCTTCACATGGTGGTTTTTAGATCATTATTCATCTGTGCACTGCAGACACTTGGCTTTGTCGTTCTGTTGTTTCTTACCCTCATAGTGAATTTCTGCACTCTACTTAATATATCTTCTCTTACCAACTCATGTGCTTTAGCTACTTACTTAAACTGCAAATGTTATTAGCTAGAAATTTTGTTTTTACCTTTTCTTTTTTCTGGTACCAACACTAATAGTTCCATCTTCTATTCCTACCTCTACTATTAGTGTTATGGTCATGTAGAAGTCCCTTAGAGGTTTGAACTGATTAATTAATGATGGAAATTTTTAGGGTAAAAAAATAGAAGTATAATTATGAGACTTTGTAACTGGTCCTAATTATCTGAATGATACAAAAGATAAAATATAGGTAACAGTAGTTGGAAAGAAGAAATCAGGATCATTACTGCTGTGTAATGGTGGTGGCAAAAGAGGGAAGAGGTACCTTGAAATTATTAAAATAATTTCAATCTTAAGCACAACTAGTGACTATGCATTCACTGATAAAATAGGTTAGCCCATCCTAGAGAAATTCTTTTGTTGAAGAGAATATAGCAATGGTCTTATTAATTACAGGAGATTTGATTCTTTTAGTATATCCTAGCAGTTTTATTTTTTGTGTGAGCCCAGATGATGTTGTCCAGTCTCCTCTTGTAGAAACCTAAAGAAGCCAAAGCTTCTAAGGATGAAATAAGTTGTGTTTGTGACCACAGAAGTCAGGAGTTGATAGTTCTGTATGTTAAGCTTCTTCCCTAGTTTTACTACCCAATCAGATTACTTAGAATTACTCTGCCATTGGGAGACATAGGTGAGGAAACTGCCTGAAGACAACTGTAATGTTAGGTCCTAACTATAGGATAAATGTGAGTGGACTCGTTTCCTACTCTTAGGATTATTGATATTGTGGCCCAGATAATGCTCTTTTTGGGTTGGAGGGGAGGTTTAATATATTTAGAATCATCCCTAGTCACTAAAGTAGCAAATTCCTTCCACTTCTGCCTCAGTTGAGACTACTAAAAGTATCTTTAATCTTTGCTAGTAAGGGTGGAGGTGAGGAGCAAAAATGCTCGTGGTTGGGAACTGCTGGGCTGGTGCGCAGGTGGCAGCTGTGTCCTCCTGGAGCCTCTTTGTCCTCATCCAGGTGAGCCTTGTCTGCCTCCAGAAGGAAGCCTCAGCACATTTGCTGTCACTTAAGACTAAAACACATGACTTAGGGTAAGCTACACGTACTGTTCTTCATGTACAATTTCTGTTCATCCTCTAATTTTCATTTTTCTCTCTTTTCCCACTTAAAATTACCTCTGTGACAGTGAATAAAGTCATTTTGAGAAAAAGCTGAATTTATTTTGGATAAAGAAACAGTATTCAGAAAGTTATATATAGTAGAATTCTAATAGCAGTAACTGCTGCTGCTGTTGCTATGCACGGTAACACTAGTGTGGCTTTCCTGCATTGTTCCAGTTTGGCTACATCTTCTTTTTCTTTGCGGTGAACAAACTTGATGACATGCTAAGATTCTGTGAGGCCAGCGTCAGAAAGCCCTCAGGCTGTGTGCGCAAATTTATTCGCTGTGCACTCACGAGCCCCACTCAGTAATTGTAGCAGCAGGGCATGCCCCAGCCTCCCTGGGGTCATCAGGACTCTTGCAGGAGGTTATTCTCTGGGTGTAAATTTAGTGTTTTCAGAGGTGAGGGCACCCTTTGGAACTGGACACATCAACTAGAAAATAGCTGTTAGTCCTGAACTAACTAGCATGAGCTGGTTTCATTTACAATTTACTCCAGTTATTTCTTTTTCTTTCCCTTTGTTGATGTTCATAAATATTCAGCATGAGTAACACTTTTGTCTCTCTACATGGGCAGACACTTTGCCAGTGGGAAATAGGGTTCGTGGAGAATGACTGAATCCAGGGTCAGTTGTTCCTCCTCAGGGAGGTCTGACAGCGTTTGAAAAAGCTCGTCTTTCTGCCCTGCTTCTCAGCTCACGGCACAGCTGCAGTAGAATGTAAAGCACCCTTAGCCCTCTGCTGAATTGTCACAGTTGTTGTCTCCAGCACTGAAATTCCAAAGAGATCTGGAGTGCAAGGCTCTTACTCCTTTAATATAGCTTGACAAAAAAGATCTTTCGCTTATTATATGAAAATTATGTGACCTTGAGTTCTTTTTAAGGAGTTTTAGGAATGTGTTTTTGTGAATAACTCAATTTATCCTCTGGAAACAGCTGTGAATGGAGAGCCAGGGGCAGGTAATCCCCCCACAGTAGGGAGGGCGTTTGGGCCAGACGCCCAGACTCCACCTGTGGCTCCAGCCCTGGTGTGCTCTTTGTGACAAGAGCTATGGATGGGAGAGCTTGCTTTGTTCTTTGATTTCTGTCCTTATCCTTAAAATTGGCCCACACCGTGTGTTTTACTCTCTGGTTTGTACCTCCTTCAGAACTGTGAGCTTAGCGTAGATAGAACCCATCTATGATATGGTTAGAATTTCTTTTAGTTATTATTATTAAAGTGGAGACAAAACCTGGGTGTGGTGCCCCTTGCCTGCAGCACTCTTGAGACTTAGGCGCAAAGATAGCGCAAAGAGCGAATTTGAGGTTAGCTTGGATTTCATAATGAGTTTGAAGCTAACCGGGGCAACATACAAATAAAACAAGCAGAGAGAAAACAATTTGGTAGGAAACCTAGGGCTCCACTTTGTAGACTTTGTGACATCATGTAGTTT